GCATAAGAAATTGGAAATTTTCCCCACCTTCTATATAACACTATCAGCAAATAAATAGTATAGCCTTGCTTAGCATTTCCTACCCGCACGGCAAGCAGCACACCACGCACGGCGATCTGTCGCACGCTAGTTCCGCCGAGAGGCATCCACACGGCACGCACACGAAGTCAAGAAATCACGCCCATCTTTCTTTTTCAGCCGAACCTTTGGAGAGGTACTCTCATCTCTAACACTCTTTCATGTTATAAGTTCAGTTGGTGTGAGGTTGTTCAGCTCATAGCTTTAAATTTCATGAATATGCCGTAATAAGTTCGGTTTAGCCTATTGTAGGCCATGACCGAATAAAGTCCTTTTCTATCCGGCAACTCTCGTGCAATTCATGTTTGATTGATCAGTTTACATCATGTTATATTCAGTTACTTGAGGATGGTCGAAGTAAAACATTGTTTTAGCCCTGTATTGGCATATAGCCGTCGGCAGCGCACCTCGCGCACGGCCACGGGCTACTTCATGTCATGTTATGTTACTTTCAGTTAGGGTCAAGTTTGTCCGTGTGATTTATGTCTTGATAGCCTCAAAATAATGTTTCATGTTCAATTGGTCTTGAGTTGCCGAGGAAAAAGTTGATTCGGTCGAGAGACGGCCTATAGCCGTCGGCGGCGCACGGGCGCACGCCATCGGCCATGTTAGGTCATTGGACAAAAGTCATGATTTTATGTAAATTTGATCCTTTTGATGTGATATGATTTGTCATGTTGAATTAAAAGGGAGTTGTCGGAGGGTGTAGCCGGACGGCCGATAAGGATCGGCCAAGGTCGCCATGCCCGCACACAGTGGGTAGTGCGCGCCGGCAGCCCAGCCATGTCCGCGGGCAACGTGCGTGGACAGATTTCACGCACAGTCAGCTGCAGTAGCAGCAAGTAGCGCACGGTAGTGTGCAGCAGCACACGCCAGTGCGCAAGTCGCCCGCCAGTGGCCGTGGCAGTGCCCAATAGCCAGCTGAGTGGCCAACGTCGCGGGAGTCGCACGACAGCGTCCGCGCAGCGTCCTGTCAAGTCCAATCAGCACGGAAAGTGTCGCGTAATAGCATCTGCGCAGTGCCAGTCGCAGGGCCGATTGCCCAGTACCGCCCATGATCGCGCGGCAGCACCGTGCGACACTTGTTCATGTCAGGCGTGCTTATGCGTATGTCCGTACACCCAGTCACTCGCTGCGGCATTCGGTAGTGCCTGTCAGCGTTCAGCGATGTTTAGCGCCAACGCACATAGCGTCTGGTAGCGCCGAGGTTCAGTCATGTGCGTCCAGCAGTGGCCAAGGGGCCTAACTCACGTCTGTCGTGGCCAGGTGCACATAGCACCCCAGCCATGACCAGGGCAGGCCGGCAGCGGCCGTGCCCACGCCAGTTCAGCATGCAGTCGCACCACGGCCATGGCAGGCCGTGGACCAAGTCAGCTGCCGGTCGACCGGTCCGAGCAGACCGGCGGTCCGGCCAGACCGGTTCAGACCGGTTAATACCGGTTTGACCCAAATAATACTATTTTAATCCCGGTTCGCATTTTAAGTTCCATTTCAGTTAAATTTCTGGGATAATTTCAGTAAGTTCATGTCCAATCAGTTCATGCAGTTCAGCTCTGGTTATTCCGGTTAAGTATAAATATCATGTCAGGTTCAGTAGAGCATCTTAACGAAATTAATCAGTTAAGATAACAATCTGAGCATAGTCATTAGTAATTGTTTATATTATATTTCAGTTTGATCAGGTCACGAGTATCAGCACTGCCTTTATTTTCACGGATCAGGTGGGGACTTAGACTAAGTACTACATTGATTATAATTGCGGTACCATGTTTGAGGTATGTATTTCATGTCATGTATCCACTCGGAATGGTCGCCGGTCCATTCTGGGTTCTAGTGGCCTTAGTCTGCCCACTAGAGTGTGCACATGGTGTCCGGCATTAGTTCTTGCCGGCAGATGAGGTAACAGTCAGGGCCACGTTGCGTGACGATATTAGATTCATGTTCATGTCATTACCGGTTTCATGTTAAGGTTATGTATATGTCGATATCATGATATTGTTATTATTTTCAATGTTTACATTAGTATGAGTTTCCACGGAGCACAGTGCCATAGTGCTCATTTCCCACTTTTATCATGTTTTTCAGGTCAGGATGTCGGGCAGGGAGCGTGAGATGACGAAGGCTTAAGGACTTTTGTGTTTTGACTGTGTATATATTATGATGATTTACGTTTTCGCTGACGATGGGTTTTGATGAACTTATATTTTGACCGGACATTTGGAAAAAATTATGCCTTCAGTAACAGTATGATTTTATTAAAAATTAAGATAACAGTTTTCCAGATTAAGTCACGATTTTAAGGTAGCACCCCGAATCAGTTTTCACAAAGTAAAAGATTTTATTTTTAAATAACTTTGCAAAATTTTCGCACCCTGATTTAACGATAAGGCGGGGTGTTACATTTGGTATCAGAGCACGTTTCTGCGTCTCTGAAAAGTTTTTCAGTCAGTAATTTTCAGAAAAACCTGAACCGTCATGCTAACGCCCCGCCGACGACAGATAAGTGCTGATTTATGTTTTCAGTTATAAACATTGTTATCATCCGACTCGGCAAAACACCATTAAGAGGGTTTAAGCATCTTGTTAAGTGCAATTACCTGTTGAACCGACGTGATCCGAAACCGTACCGACTCACACAAAGAACCGGTCTACACTACCAAAGACCGAAGTGACCAATATCCACCGAGGTCTACTTCCACCGAGGTCTACTTACACCGAGGTCGTCACCTCCTCAAGCAGGTGACAAAGCGCCTACGCACAACCATCACGCTCTACGAGATTCGTCATCATTCATGTGGGACCCACTGCTCCAAACCGCCCACCAAAAGCTACTTTATACAAAAAGTAGTACGCAAATCCCAATGTATTCGCCAAATAGTTACTATAAATAGTGAACCCATGACATTTGTACGGGGATCTCTCTCCGAACTCAAAAACATCTTTATGCAACACGCAAAAGCCCATCACGGCTCTTCACCTCGGTTTACCTCGGACCGGGGCCATTGTTGAGTTATTTCTACATGCATTACGTCCAAACCGTTCATAATTACTATCTTAATCACTTGTTCCATCATTGTTAGAAATCACATAACAACAGTTTGGCGCTAGAAGGAGGGCCTCATAAGTGATTTGAGGTCAATCTCCGTTTTTCCAAGTGACGATTCACACCAGCCATATCCACCATGTCTCACTCAGATCATCGTGGTCACACTTCACGAGACGGCCACAGTCGTAGCACCGCGCAATCTGCCAGACGACAAGCCGTGGCCCCACCTGTACCGGATTATGCTGTTCTGTTTCAAAATCCGGAGTTCGCGCGTGGTTTTGCCGCTTTAATGGCCCAAACGATGTCGGGAACATCAACGACTGCTCCGGGACACTCCATCATTCCCACGACTCCCGCAAACCGGCAGAATCCACCAGCGCGGCAAGACGGCAGAAGGACAACATCTCACGCTACATCTCAGCCCCGTGATCGAATGTCACAACCGCCTCCGGAACAAAATACGCGTCGCACTGACGCCGGGCGCAATCCTCCTGTACTTCCTCAAGAAGAAACTGCCGAAAGCCAGTCGGGTCACTCACGACGATCACCGCCTCACGCACAGCGCCGAAATCCATCCAACCCGGCGCAGGCCGACCTTCGACAACATATTGAACGAAATCGGGCTCGTCAAGAGTCATCCGAACTCGAAACACTGCGACGAAGAATAGTCGAGTTGGAAAGTCGACAACGGGCACCTGAAGATCCACCTCGGCGGGCCTCCACCTCGGCGCAAGTGTATTTGGAAGCCGATTCTCCCCTTACTCCGGAGCTCACTTCGGAACCAGTTCCTGGAAAAGTTAAGGTCCCCCAGATCGAGCTATATGATGGAACATCTGAACCCGGACTCGCACCTCGGTCATTATACTTCATGGATGGATCTGCATGGGGCCTCAGACGCACTTCGGTGTCGTATGTTTTCAGTTACACTGGGGCCTCGGGCCCAAAAATGGTACCATTCTCTTCCTCCTCATTCAATTTGGAAGTGGCAACAACTGAGGTCGGCTTTCCGATCTCATTTCATCGGGGCCCAAGTATGTCTTATCCCAAAAGAATCTCTTGCAAATATTACTCAAAAAGATGATGAAAGTGTCAAGGATTATATTGCCTGTTTCAATGACCGAGTTCAGAATATGGAACCTTGTCATCCTGAAACCTTGCTTGTCATGGCTATTGCTGGATTGAAACCGAATTCGATTTTCCGCTGGACACTATGCCAAAATAAACCGAACACTTTTCAAGAATTTCTCGCTCGAGCCCAACAGCACATCATAGCGGAAGAAGCCATGTCGGTTCCCGATTTTAACTTTAACCCGAAGTCTTCTAAAGCGGGAACCGACGAAAAAAGGAAGAATAAATTTTTCGACAAGCAAAATAAGACTCAATTCAGGGGACCTCCCCGAGGAAACCCCAATGATCCTGAAGTCCGAGCGGCCCGAAAACAGTATGCAACCGATGTGAAGTCCGATTATCAAACTGTATATTCGGCGGGAGCAGCCACTATTTATGAAGAAATCAAAGGGAAGGGCATTTTGCCAGATCCCAAGCCACTTCGAATGCCCGAAGAAAAACTAGACAAATCCCGATATTGTGATTAACATAAGTCGCCAGGGCACAACACGGACGAGTGTTTGAGTTTGTTAGCCGCATTGTTGCGTTTGATTGGCCATCCGCAACTTAGAAAATTTTATCGTAATACTGATCCTCAGAGGCGAGGTCCTGGACGCCAGATCGAACCCTTTGATGATGAAGACGATGAGGAGGACCGAGGTGCTATGCCAAAACGCATCCGACAAGGAGATAAGGAAGTATTCATGTTCACCTCGGAGACATCCGATTCTAACTCAGCTGGAACTTCCCGAGGACGTAAACGAGATAGGTATCCTGAACCAATGCAAATCACCGTTCACCGGGTCAATACCAATAACCCCCGGAGTACATTATCCCGTCGACAGGTTAAGGCATATGCCCGACAAGCGCACAACTCCGGCAAACAGGTTTACACTACCGATCTGAGAGATATTCTCAACAATCGGAATTGCCCCATAACTTTTAATATGGAGGATGCTAATCATTTCGCCCATCCTCATTCCGACGCACTTGTTATCACCGTCCCTATCTGCGGGATTCCAGTTCATCGTGTCATGGTGGACACTGGGGCCTATTCGAGTATTTTGATGATAAGAGCTTTTGATAAAATGGGTCTTGATCCCGCCGAGATTCGACCCTGCAATGATCAAATACAAGGGTTTAATGGGAGCATTTCAAAGCCCATCGGCGAAATCACTTTACCTGTCCGATTCGGCACTTCGGAGAATGCCACCAAACTCATCATGAAAACTTTCAAGGTTATGGATATCAATAATGAGTACAACGCCATCATTGGCAGAACGGCATTGTATAAACTTCGAGCTGCAGTCTCTATCTTTCACTACGCCTTAAAATTCCCGGCAACCCGAGGAGAGGGAACCCACTTCGGAGATCAAAAAGAAACTCGCGAACTTGTTACGTTTATCCCATCCAATGGAGTTCATTCAACTTCAATGGGTAATAATGAAGCCTCCCCACAGCAACACACTTCAGATGACACGGTATCCGAAGAACCGAACAACCACGTCGGCGATCCTTCCACCTCGGATCCTTTAACCAAAGACCGAGGTCGCCGACCTGGAAAAGAGCCACTTCTTGAAGAAGACGAGTTGGACCCCAGAGCATTGTTTAAAGAAAAAAGTCGAGCTGATCGAGCCGAACCTGGAGAAGACGTGGAATTGGTCTATATCGATGAACCAGTCTTCCACAAGTCATTGCGCATCGGAAGTCATCTTCAAGAACCACTTCGGTCAGAACTTATCTCGTTTCTCAAACAGAATTCTGATGTTTTTGCCTGGAAGCACGAGGACATGAAGGGCATCGACCCCGGTGTCGCTAGCCACAAACTAAACCTCGATCGAACAATCCGGCCTGTTGTGCAAAAGAGGAGGAAACTGGTGCCGGATCGTCAGAAGGCATTGGAAGAAGAAGTCAAAAAACTCATTGACAACAAGTTCATCAAGGAAGCCAAATACCCGACGTGGGTCTCAAATCCTGTTCTTGTTAAAAAGAGCAATGGACTATGGAGACTGTGCATTGATTTTTCCGACCTCAACAAGGCATGCCCAAAGGACAGTTATCCACTTCCCCACATAGATTACATGGTTGATGCCACGTCGGGATATGAGTTGATGAGTTTCATGGACGCTTACTCCGGCTACAATCAGATTCCTATGGATCCTGAAGATTCTGAACACACGTCATTCTATTCGGCCCGAGGCTTGTACTGTTATACTATGATGCCATTCGGATTAAAGAATGTCGGAGCCACATATCAACGCCTTGTAAACAAAATATTCGCTACGTTGATCGGTCATACTATGGAAGTTTACGTTGACGACATGCTCGTCAAATCGGTGCACGCCTCAAATCATATAACATATCTTCAAGACATGTTTTCCATCCTTAGATCTTACTCCATGGTCTTAAACCCTAAGAAATGTACTTTTGGAGTTGAGTCCGGAAAGTTTTTAGGCTATATGGTTAGCCAGCGCGGAATTGAAGCCAATCCGGCCAAAATAAAGGCCATTCAAGAGCTAACTCCCCCGACCTCGGTTAAGGGCGTTCAGGCCCTAACCGGCCGACTTGCTGCACTCAACCGATTCATCTCCAAGTCAACATATCGTTGCAGACACTTTTTTGAAGAAATTAAGAAAGGAAAACGTTTTGAATGGACCGAGGAATGCCAAAAAGATCTCGATAGTATCAAGAAGACGCTAGTCTCTCCCCCGACTTTGCAAAAGCCGAAACCCGAGGAAATGTTATTCTTATACCTCGGAGTCAGTGATTCTGCCATTAGCGTTGTTTTGATACGCGAAGAGGGATCGCTGCAATCACCTATCTATTACGTCAGCAAAGCCTTGCACGATGCCGAACTAAGTTATCCTCCGATGGAAAAGTTAGCGTTTGCACTTGTGATTGCAGCCCGTAAATTGCGACCTTATTTCCAAGATCATTCTGTAACTGTTCGCACTTCGTATCCACTTCGGCAAATCCTGCACCAACCTGAAACCTCGGGACGCATGGTTAAATGGGCCATTGAGCTCAGACAATTCAACATCCATTATCAACCGAGGACCGCGATCAAGGCTCAAGCCTTATCTGACTTTATCGCCGAGTTTACCCCGGCCATCACAGTTCATTATAATAATCAACCATGGGTCCTCTATATTGATGGCTCCTCGACAGCTAACCGAGCAGGCGCAGGGATAGTCTTAGCTGATCCAGAAAACCGGTTATTCTGTCACTCGGTGAAGTTTATCTTCCCGGCAACGAACAATGAAGCCGAATACGAAGCGCTGCTATCCGGATTGAATTTGGCAGAATCCATGAACGTGACCCACCTCAAAGTCTTCTCAGACTCCCAGCTCCTTGTCAATCAAATCAATGGTTCATATGAAGTCAAAGAACCTCGGTTGACACCCTATCTCTCTTTGGCCAAACGGAAATTATCAAAATTCTCCGCCGACCTCGAGCATATCCCCCGAACTCTTAATGTTCAAGCAGATGCCTTATCTAGACTTGCGTCCAGTACCGGGATGGAGAGCGCGGAGTACGTCCAAATCGGCCAGCAAGAACAACCGTCAACTGCCCTTTCCAAGGTCACGACCATCAATCCGGTAACATCACAAAAACCACCAACTTGGATGGATCCTATTATCCGCTACCTAGAAACTGGGGCCTTACCCCCAGACCCAAAAGAAGCTCGAGTACTTTGGATTCGAGCAGCTCGGTATACATTGGACAACGGAACTTTATTTAAAAGGGGATACTCCGTCCCGCTTTTAAAATGCGTGAATGAAATTGAGTCACGGTACATTCTTGAAGAAGTCCACGAAGGGATTTGCGGAAGTCATCCCGGTGCACAAGCATTATCTTATAAGATCCTGCGACAGGGTTACTACTGGCCGACCTTGAAAACCGACGCTGCTGCATGGGTCCGTAAGTGCCCAAAATGCCAAATATTTGCGCCTAATGTTCATCAGTCTCCCGAAGAACTCCAATCGATCTATAGTCCGTGGCCTTTTGCCAAATGGGGGATTGATCTTATAGGTCCTCTACCAACCGGAAAGGGAGGTGTCCGGTTTGCTATCGTGGCAGTCGACTATTTCACTAAATGGGCCGAGGCCGAACCGTTATCCACGATAACCGAGCAGAAGGTCGTCGATTTTGTGTGGAAGTCAATTATTTGTCGCTTCGGGGTGCCGAATTCCATCATAACCGACAACGGTAAACAATTTGAAGGCAAACGACTTGAATCCCTGTGCGAAGAATACAACATCAAGCACTTCTTCTCATCGCCTTACCACCCGCAGTCCAACGGCCAGGTTGAAGCTGTAAACAAGCTCATAAAGAACGGTCTCAAAGTTCGACTTGACGCCGCCAAAGGAGCTTGGCCTGAAGAGTTGCCACATGTCCTGTGGGCTTACCGGACTACCACTCGAACGTCTACCGGCGAGACCCCATTTTCCTTAACTTACGGTTCAGAAGCCGTGGTTCCGGTTGAGCTCGGAGAACCGACGTACCAAGTTCAGCATTTCACCGAAGAGGCCAACTCGGAAAACATGAAAACTAATCTGGACCTGCTTGAAGAGCATCATACCCGGGCCGAACTCAGGAATGCTGCTTACAAGCCCCGTTCGTTCCGAGTTGGAGATTTGGTCCTCAAACGTATAATGGGGCCTGACCCCGGACCACTCAGACCGCGGTGGGAAGGGCCCTTTCAAATCATTAAAATCCTACCTCATGGGGCCTACCGAATTGCTCATCCTGATGGAACACCACATCAATATCCCTGGAATGCAGTGTTCTTGAAAAAGTTCTATCAGTGAAGGATCCGAAGTCGAATAGTCGACCTTCCTTTTGCACGGACCTTCTTTTCGCCCCGGTGAATCTACGAAGTCCCCCTTTTGATGTACTGAAAAGCCTGTCAGTTTGCATTTTTGAAAATTCGAGCAATAGCTCAATATCGATGTAAACCTTTTGAAACTCGGTTATATGAATATATCGTGCCGATGTAAGCATTGCGACACTCTGTCTAGCTGATACCCCATAATATGTCCGAATACCACATATTTTCGGATGGGGGTGATGCTCGTCAAACGTCATTTCAACATACATGATTTGACGGGCCCCGAATATTACCGAATACACAACATATAAGTCGGTTGGGGCCATTCCATAATCGAACTCTGACGAAGTTCGGTGACTTCCGTTTTATTTCCCGTACAGCCCTAAAAATGTGTTAAGTTCCGCGAAGTTATTTGAAAACTCGCATATCGACTTACACTTGTGGCTGAGATTATTATAAACGATCAAAGTGGAATTCGGAGATTATTTTTACAAAACCTTACAACTCGGATCATGATTTAAATAATTCCGAGTTGAAGCAGTTCATTTTACAATACGAATCGAGTTCAGAACACTTGGTCAAAAAATTGCTGAAATTTATACAGCAAACATAAATCAAAATCAAAAGTACGCAAACACTTCATATATATATATATATATATATATATTCTGAAAAGTTGGGAAATCCCTTACATATTTCCTACTAAGGGAATCGGTTACCCGATATCCCCGATTACATATCGCAAACTTCAAAATATTTCCTACTAAGGATGCCGACATGCCGGCACCCCGACTACATACTACAAATAAAACAAAGTGACAGGGAATGAACTTCAAGCCTTATCAGCCGACTTCTCCACACTGTCCCCGGTGCCACTGCCCTCTCCAACTTCGGTCCCGGAAGATAGTCTCTCCAAGACCTTCATCTCCTTTGCCTTAGCAGCAGCTTCAATGGCCCCATCTGGCACCGGAATGAACTCGTCGCGAGGATCAGGCAACTCCCTCACCTCATCTCCAGCCGGCGTGACGACCTTAACAAATTCAACCTCCTTGTCGGCCGACTTGGCTTTTTCCTCAATGAAGGCTTGGACCCTGTCTCGAATCTGTTCCGGGGTCATGTCATCAAAGTGCTGCTCGACTTCTACCTCGGCAAGAGTTGAGAGATATACATCGGCCAACTCCTTTCTCTTCCCTTTCTCATTTTCCAAAATCATATTGACATAGGCCCGTCGAAGAAGAGCCGCTCTATCTTCAGAAAGTGGCGGCAAATCAGGGTTTGCATTCATCTCTTCGGACCGACGCAGCATCCACTCGCAAAATTCCCTCTCATCTTCATAAGCCTCAATGTGCATACCTTTAATCTCGGTACCGAAGCCATATTTCTCGAGCTTGTGGAAAAGGAAGAAACGAAGATCATCAACATCATAATAACCTGCATCAAAACGCTCGATAACCCACCGGAGTGCCAAATAAGTATTCATTTCAAGCTCCAAATCCGGGCCGTCTTCCTCTTCCACTTCGGCAGCCGCATCATCCGCCTGCACAGTTGTCACTTCGGTCGCGGAATCCTTGCCAGCTTGAAAGCCGTTCTCGTACATGAATTCCCCATATGCTGACTTCTCCCTCTCAAGTTTGGCCATTTCGGCCGGGTGGGCATCTTTTTGCCGTCCTACGAGCTCACGGGCCTCGGTATATTCTTGACGAGTTATTTCATGCTTGGCCTTTTCATCTGATAGCGCCTTCGCTGTTTCCTCTAATTTGGCCTCTGAAGATTTGAAGTGCTATTCGACTACAGCAAGGCGCGCCTTAAGATCAGCCACCTCGGCCTCAAAGGCCTTCTTCTCCTCTGATAATGTCAAGGTCTCAGCCTTTGCCTTCTCCAACTCGGCAGCCTTCTCAGAAATCCGACCCTTCAAGTCGGCCTCCATTTTAGCAGATTCTTCCTTCAACTGAACGATCACCATATCACGCGCGGCTACGATGTCTTTTTTCCCTTCCAACTGAGACGCAACCCGGCGATGATCGTCCTCGGCTGCCACCAAACTAACCAAGGCCCTGCCCACACATGCCTTGGCATAGCTCAGCTTATCAACGCTAGATAAAGAAGAGACCCCCACCTCGGATTTGGGGTCCCAAACCATCAGCGGAACCCGAGCAGCGTTTCTGGCATTCTCTGGCATTTCGATTCTTGACGACATATGCGGTGACTTCACAGACAGAAAGGTAGTGAACCAATCCTCCACAACACCTTCGGGCACCTTAACATTGGCAGCCCGTTCTTCATCGATCGTTAAAAAAGACTTCTCGAACAAGGGAGATTCATCATGACCCTTCTCACCAGTTTTACGACCGGAGTCGTGTTTTTTCTTAGTTCTCTTCTCCGCACCAGAAGAAGCACCAACATCCGCCATCTTCACCAATTTCCTCTTCTTCCTCCTCTCTGGTTATTCCAACTCCAAAGACTTCGGAGAAGAGGGCGGCACCTCGGTGTGGACGACCTCGGCCGTAACCAGCTCCGTCCCTGCCACAACGAGCTCAGGCTCTGCTTGGCTAATAGCCGCGACATTCACAACTGGCGGCACCTCGGTAGTTGTCACCTCCTACAAGGACTTCGGGCTCTTCGGAATAGCCGCCGAAGTCACACTCGACCCCACCTCGGTCGATTTTTTACCGACGTTCTTTTGGCCCGCAGTTTTCTTCACCAAAGCGCGAACTAAATCCCTCCTCATGATGTTGGTTAAACGTAAATCCCGACTTTTGCCGAACTTGGACTGCAAATCTTTGTTTGGGAACTTACGTCTGAACTCCTTAGCCTCCTTGACCGTGCTATAGCCTAGGAATCCGAGGAGCGGATAGTATACTGCAGTCAAAATCAATCAAAGTTATTCACTACTGTTCGGTATACACAAGAATGAGGGTAAAACCAGCAGCTATGAAAAACTCATTACTGGGGTCAAACTTGACAGTAGTAACTCCGGGAGATAACCCAGCCGCCTCAAGTTTTGAATCGACAACAAGCTTGCGATAATCTCGGACCTCCTTATCCAAACTAGCAAGTGTGATTAATTTCCCACCGAACTCCGGACTCAATCTCGGTTCCGTTTGTTTAGTCTCTTTTTCTACAAAGAGCAAAAGTTCCGACCTGTTAGTGCACAGAACAAGGCAAAATTAGAGAAGTGTATCCAAATCAAAAGATAAAAAAAGACTCACTTGCTCCAGAATGAATGAACATTGGAATCGTCATCCCATCAATCCGAGGTTCATGAAAGAAGCTCTCAGACTGCCACTCCCCTCCAATCCACAACCACTCTTCCTGGAATCCGTGAAGAGTTTCTGGGATGTCGGTTATTATTTCACCGACTTTTAAACCATGTTGCGGCTTCGCTCCGGCAAAGAAGCAGCATGAAGACTCCGCAACATGCCTCCTCGGACTTTTCTTAAAGGCGAAAATACTCCTTATTTCATCACACGATGGCAGCCCATC